TACGTTTCGTTTATGAAAATATTAAATTAGTTAATATGTTTTTAAAATGTAGTATAATTAATAAAAATACCACAACTTGAAAAGTATTAAATCATGTTATTGAAAACAACGTAGTATATTTCGAATCTCGAAATTATGGTAAGTGAAGTCGACCTAGTGTTGTAATTTAATTATCGAAATTCATATATTAATTCCCCGAATGTTCAATTATTGATTACATGATTAAAGTTTATTACAGATAATAATAATAATAATAATAATAATAATAATAATAATAATAATAATAATAATAATAATAATAATAATAATAATAATAATAATTAACTACTTAACTACGAATTAAAATTTATGTATAATGTAAAACAACGCAAATACCCTGATATCACTTGATTGATCATACATGAAAAAAGGGCAAAACACCATTTTTTCCCATTTCACCAAATATTTGGTGCAATTTCACTCAACCCAATAACAAATTTTGCACCATTTTGGTGCAACCAAATTTGATAAAAGTCATTTTTGCCATTTATAATCAGTAATAATCAACTAATGAATTAAAATAAAAGTACTCAAAAAGTTTTAAAATGCAACAAACATGATTATTTACAATATTAGGTTGACTTTGTCATATCATAATTAAACTACAACACTGGTGGACTTTGTTGTATCATAATATCGAGATTCAAAGTGTACTACGTTGTTTTTAATAACATAATTTAATATTTTCTTAGTTGTTGTATTTTTATTAATTGTACTACGTTTTTAAAATTTATAAACGAATTTTAATATTTTAGCAAACGAACGATAATTATTTATGCAATAATAAATTAAATAAATAAATAAATTTTCAGCTATATAAATTGTTAAGAATAAAAAAAAATGAAGAAAATGATTAAACACTGTACATCTCATGAAATTTTTGGTGTAATGAGTTGTAAATGATTTTTAGTTTAGCACAAAATTTGGTGCAAAATGGTGCAACTTTTGGTGGTAGGTTAGAGATGGCCTTATATGTTTCAAATTAGGCTAGATATATATGTTTTTATTTTATAGTTAGTATATGCCAATATCTGCTACTTTTGTTGATGGATATATAAAATTCATTTTTTCTTTCATATTACGTTGAACTATTTTTTTCCCTGCAAGAAATCTTTGAATACAGTGTGTATGTTCCATTGAATTATTTTGATATGAATTTCTGATTTTATCACGTCTTATTTTTCTGGAATGCAGTGATTTTAGCTATTTGTTTGATTCTTTTATTTGTATGGAAATGTTAAGGACCTGTATCTACTATTGATTGAATCAGTAAGATCTGCTGCTTATTTGCTCAACTACAAAAGAGGAAACTAATGAATTTGTGTCATTTTGTTTGATCATTTGTTTCTTGATGCATATGGTTCTATGGAAAATTTGGTTTGCTCGATGGAAATGTATACTCATCTATCACATTATGTAAAAGGAACATGCAATCTCTCGAACTATGGGACGAGATCATGGCTTTCGTTTTCCTCTTTGTCACTATGTAATTCCGATCTTCAACTAGTGGAATCCATATGATCTCGAAATTGATCAAGATTGTTTGGGTTGGATAGGATTTGTTACTTGAAAGAAACTAGATCTTGCTGTTTATTCCACTATGCAAGTAAATCTTGTAATCTAACGTTATGTTAGAGGCCTGAAACCATCCCGTGTTTTAGGAGATTCTCGAACCAAGATGCTTCGAGATATTGAAGAGTTGTAGCGAGAAACCCAATTTGATATAAAGCTTAATCAATGAGACAACTAAGTTCTTTGCCTAATGCCCAGACAATAGCATTCAAGTATTTAGACTTGGAAGTTTCTTGAGCACGTCGCCATGACATGGCTGATGATTTTGAACAAAATCATAGCAATAGGAATCTGAATCTGAAACCCCTGATCTCCGTAAGATTGACGAGTCCGTATAGTCAAGCACACTAGATGTGATATAAGGAAAAAGGTTTCGCAATTAGTTTCCATAGAACAATTTTTAAGGGAATATTGGTCCATTTTTGCTATAGAAAAATTCTAAACAACCAGGGCCTGAGGTGGCGGTGCCTCAGCCCCAGATCTGAATTTACCTGAGCCACCTTAGCCACTGTCAATAGGGCCTGTCACCAGCCCTGTTTGTGTAGTGCCTCTCTTTGCAATAATACCGTTGACCAATTTTTGAATGGAGACTTCTGTCAATTTATTAATTAGGCTATCAAATAGGCAGTTGAGGTTACCCATATGTTGTAACTGAGGAGAAGCTAACACCCTTACCCTTCTGTGTATTTCGCTTATATATATTAGATCATTCACTACATTGAAGAAGAAGGTTCAATTAGGGTAAATATTAGGCCATTGACTACAAGGATTGAAACAATTGCCACTAGATTGTGTAATATTAACGGATATCAAGTATTGCAGATAATTGGACGAGGAAGAACTGTGCATCTAGTGGGCAACTTCAGCTTGTGTTTCAGCATACTTGAGAAGCACAAACACCTGTAAGCTAATTGAATACCCATATTCAATATATATTCAAGCTTGTATATTTTTTAACACTCTTCAATATGTATCGAATAAGTATTTTTTAATTATTTATTTTTATATTATTTAAATTTTCGATACATATCGGATAGAACACATCAAGAAGAAGAGTTTCATTGATTTTAAATTCTTTTAAAATTCATTACATTGCTATTGACAGTTATAGAAATCATTGCTATTATCATGTCTTATTGAAAATAGATAATATTTATCAATTAATAAGAATTACCTCCTGTTTTGTGTAGTATATGGGAATGAATAAGATAAATAATGAGCTCAAGAATTAGTTTTTATTTGTAGCAATTTGCATATTTTATTAAGAAAAACAAAAAGAGAACCCAAAATGTGCAGCATTGCTGGATATTCACTTGATACTTTTGAAAGTGTTGTATTGATTGAAATTGATAATCTATCATTTTTAGAAAAAAAGGTTGCATCATCATTATGTTATCATTATTCCCCTATTGGATGGCCATTATTTGAAAATAATAATAATAATAATAATAATAATAATAATAATAATAATATAATGTTTTGAATAGTGATTTCTAGCATAATATGTAATTAAAAGGTAGAAAATGTTTTGGATTACGTGTAGAGTATTTTATTGTATGAAAGTGTAATTGAAAATGAGAGTGTAATTTTTTTTTTTTTTTAAATAATGATTGTCAAATCGGGTCTATAATTCATTTTTTTTAACTAGCAATTGTAGAAGAATCTGAAATTATTTGTTCTTCGCAGTCCTCTTATGTTAAAAAAGAATGAACGGCTTTATTATAATGTGTATTCTATTATCTATACATAGCATCTTTCAAGTCTGCACCGTTTAGCAATAGATTAAAGTTTTAGGTTATATTTTTGGTATTCATATTATTTTTAAGTAATTTGTGTGGCTCACTAGATCAGCCGTTGAATGTGCATGGTGGAGGTCCTGGGTTCAAACTTTTTTAACCAACAAACTATTGTACAATAAAATTTTAATATAACAATTTTTGCCAAAATTGAAGAGAGTGGGAGACCAATCAAAAATTCAAACTTGTGACCTTTTCTTAGATATAGTATGATCTTCACCACTATGACACCCATCAATTACTTGCAATAAACTTAACAAAATAATATATTTTTTTAGTTTTTATCTATTGTAATGCTAGTGAAATCATAAATATTCGAATCGATGCACTTCCTTTAAAATATACAAAGTTTGGCAACAATGTCATTAGATGAGTCCATTTATTCTTATAACATAATTACATATGTTCAATTTGAACAAAATAATTGTTAAAATTTAAACTTTAGGCCTTATTTGATTCTTATTTTTTTTTAAAAAATAATTTTAATCTCTTTTTTCAACCGCATATTCATAAAAAATAATAATATTGCATGCAGATTCATTTTTTTTTTTGTTAGCTACACATTCTCCATCAAATCATTATTATAAAATCCTTTTCTTTTCTTTTTTTTTCTTTTTTTGCAAAAAATTAGTATCAAACAAATTCTTAATATTTTATTGCGATCGACGATAGACAGTCAACGACAACCCGTGCTAACTCAAACTTCTAGATTCGTCCTTGTTGGTGGCTCTGCTTTTTGGTTCGTATAAAACTGGATTACAATAAGTTACTTTTTTCGTCACTATTTGTGAATTAATTTATCACAAATATTATTTAGTATTTACGGCCTCATTTTCGATGTTTGTATTGCAACGTGGCTCTAATAATTAATACTTAATAATGTATCTCTTGTTGGTTGCAAAATACTTTTAAATAGAGAATTGTCCCTTACTTTTATTAATTATTTGCTATTTTTTTTTTCTAAATCTAAATAAAAAGACAAACTTCATTATAAAGTAACGTTACAGATCACAAGTGAATACGATTTATTAGTAGGAAAAAGAAGCATATAAATGAAATACCTTTAAGCGTAAAATTAAACAATCAATTTCTTCATTTACCTCTATTTTCAATTTTCTACCGTGGAAATGTGGAATCCAATAAGCATTGACCGACGCACGAATATTAAGGGCATGTTTGAGAGCGATTTTTTTACCAAAAAATTGATTTTTTGACCGTTATTTTACTATTCTAACTGTCATATTTGACTTCTTTTCTTACGGGTGGATCCCACTTTTCTCCTAACGATCAAAAAATCAATTCTCAAAATCACTCCCAAACATGCTCTAAACTATTCTTAAATTCTTATATTTTAAACTGTTAAAATAAATTATTTATCTATTTTGATTGTATTAGTTTAAAAATTTTACTTTAGTTAAAAAAGTAAATGATGAAGAAGTGATGTCACCAAAAAGATTAAAAGGGCAAAAAAAAAATGAAAGTGCAAACAAGAATAGTTTGAAAAGTCAAAGCTGAACAACGGTATCATCTCGCTGACAGGTGCCACAAGCAGGTGGAACCCTACAAAAAGTTAGCCGTTAGAGCATTCCCGCGTTAAACACGGGCTATTTTTCATCCAAAAAAATGCTGGATTAAAAGAAACCTCAGATAACTAGCCGTTGGAATTAAATTGGAAAACCAGACCCTTTGTAAACACACGTCTTCTTCTACCGAACACTTTGTCTTCACATTCATTCTTCGTAAACCCTAGATTCCGTCTCTCTCACTTAAGATTTTCACATGCCCTGTTTCAGACACACACACACACACACACACACACCCCTCTCTCTATCTCTCTCTTTTCTTATTTATCTCTGTTTCAGTTAAGCCTGAGAGGAAATAAGAGTCGTTAGAGAATTAGAGGGAGGGAGAGAGTTTTATTTTTTCTTGCTTGATCTTGTTCTTGTTAAACAACTTGGGATTCATTGAGAGTTCATGGATGATCAAAGTCAGTCGTTGACTCAATTGAACAACAACCGACCAGAGATTATGCAATTTCAGCTTGAAGGGGAAGCTGATTGGAGCTGGGATTCATGTAAGAAGAAAGGAAAATGGAAGCAGGATTCATGGCTAAGAACCCACAAGATTTTCTGTGTTTTTCTGCTTATGTTTTTTAGTTTTGGACTAGTTTCAGGCAAGAGATGGGATGGGGTCGTTGTAACTCAAGCCAATTATCAAGCTCTCAGGGCCCTAAAACACGAATTTGTCGATTTGAGAGGGGTCTTGAGGAGCTGGAATGACAGTGGTATTGGGGCATGTTCAGGTGGGTGGATTGGAATTAAGTGTGACAATGGGCAGGTTATTGCTATCCAGCTCCCATGGAAGGGATTGAGTGGCCGAATCTCGGAGAAAATCAGCCAGCTTCAGGCTCTTCGCAAAATTAGTCTCCACGACAATGTTCTAGCCGGCCCTGTTCCTACCTCTCTCGGGTTCCTTCCGAACCTCCGGGGTGTGTATCTTTTCAATAACCGGCTTTCTGGCTCAATCCCTCCATCAATTGGTAACTGTCCACTTCTGCAGACTCTTGATATTAGCAATAATCAGCTTAATGGAATGATTCCTCCCAGTCTTGTAAATTCCACCAGGTTATATAGACTCAATCTAAGCTTCAATTCTATTTCAGGGCCTATTTCTTTAAGCCTTTCCCAGTCTCCCTCTCTTATTTTTCTTGCTCTTCAACACAATAATCTTTCTGGCTCAATTCCTGATACTTGGGGTACCAAATCAGTAAATCGCTCTTATCAACTCAAGTCTCTGACTCTGGATCATAACCTTCTTTCTGGAAAAATTCCGGCTTCTCTTAGCAAACTCGGGTTTCT